CGTGTGCTCTTCCGATCTCCCCAAAACCCCAAAACCCCACGTGTATTAATGTTAATAGATATAGTGGTTCACAGCTATTATATGAAAGTTAATATAATTTAGCTGAATGAATTTATCATCTCAATTAATTTTATAAAGAAACTATGGTAAATAAGTCTAATATGATTTTATCATCTAACTATATTAACTTAATTCTAATAATCTTAATATCGTTTGTGGACTCGAACTTGAAAGATGGTGACTATCTGTGGGAGCTCCATGTAAATTAACGTCCCTCAATGACTATGATGCCAGTTGATGAAGATGGCCTAGATCAATAATTGGAATAATCTATTTAAGAAGAAAATTAGCATCAAGTAATTGATGCCTCAATCCTTTAAACACATGAACAAATATTAGAGAGTAAAACTAATAATTAAAGCAATTTGATCCAGTTTTTGGGAAATAAACTCACTAGCATGGATAATACTAGAAATGCCCAGATCTAAAGTGAGTAAATAGCAAGCTTGGGAGATTAGAAATATATCTAAAATTAAATTGAAATACCTATAAACTTAAAGATCGATGAATCTGCTAAAAAGGAGGCATCCAAATTATATATTAGAGATTGGAAGGATAGAATGATAAAATAATAATAAAAATATGCCCAGAGTGGATTATTGAGTGACCAAAGGCTTGAAAGGAAAGCACAATACATCCAGATGTAATAGATCCATAAATCAGATATAAAAATTAACTCTAGCGCTTTATATCAACCTCCAGGTCAATATGATGAGAATCAACAAGGATTTGAGATTCAAAATATGTTAGTGGATCTCATTTCAATCTATGAATAAATATCCACACAACTGACTTCTGCTTATTAAACAGTCGCGTCACTGCTATAGAGTGTAGTAATTTCTCCTAGAGAGTAACTCATAAAGAAGAATCTAAAGGAGTTACAGAAGGGCAAAAACTATGCCTCCAAAGATAGTGGCGCCACTATCTTGACAAGCTCCTCAGGTGTCAAGAATCCAAAATCAGTACTCAGTGGAAGTAAGGAAGAATACCTGATCTTGCCTTCTTGCAAGAATGACATTGAATATAGTCTGGTTATTAATCTGAGTGAGGATGTAGCTGTTGAGAATATAGTCATTTCTAATCACGAGGAATTCTCTGACAGTTTAAATGAAATCAAATTCATGGGCAATATAGACTACCCCACTGAGAAGTGGATACCTCTTGGGGTAATACATCCCATAGTTGGAGAGCATGATCACTAGCTAGATGTTCAGATGCAGGATACTCAAATGATTAGATATCTTAAAGTTGTTATGAAAGGCTCATAAGATAATGAACTCTACTGCACTATTACAAGAATAATGTAAGTTTGATTGAATGATTTAATTCTATTTAGGGTGTTTGGATAGGGAATGCATGCAGTAATGAGAAATTCTTTGATGGATCTGGTTAATGATCAGAATTAATCAACTGGAAATAATGGAGTGATGCATTCTATCAGTAATAATAACCATTAAAAATAAAACAAAACAAAGTCAACTTTTGACAATGCAGTTAAAAATGATGATTAGATTTGCCATTCTCATTTCAAGCCAGAGCAATATTTCTACTAGAATTAGAATTCTGCTTCATAATCAGATGATTAGCTTGGCAAGTATTTCTATGAATTTCTAGGATCACAATAAAGCTTTACTCAAAACTCAACAGAGGAATCTATTGATAAAAAGCAGTAGTAAGAATAAGTGCCACATATATAAGAAAGTTAAGAGGAAAGCTAAGGTACTAATGAACTTACTTAAAATATTATGATTAGGAAGAATTTAACTTCAAGTTAATAGTAGCAGAACAAAGGCAGTGAATTTTAAAATGCAACTCAGCTATACAATAACGACAATGCTTTGGATAAATTATTGAAGACTCTAGTTTAAAAGCTAAATAACAATGAAGTGCATTCGAATTAAATACAAGACTAATTGAATGTTGCAGTCTCTGAGACCAATTAATAACTTGGAGAGGTCTTTGGAAATGTTAGGAATATGCAATATCAGTTTAGTGAGTTGAACAAATAAAACAGTAAGTTGCTTGGGGAACTAGACTCCAATAAAAATGAGACTGTTTTACTGAGAGAAAACATTGACAACTTGGTTAAAATAAACCAGCAATATCAGCAGTAGTTCATCTTTCTTTGGATTATGCTTGGACTTATCATATTGTTATTCACAGCAGGAATAGTAGTTATGTATAAAATGTTGACAAGGCAGGAGAGTAAATAAAGTAAAGAATAAGTGATTAGAACTACCAATGACAGTCAGGTGCAATTACAAAGATAGCCTAGATAGTTATTGCTGAGAATAGAAGAGAGATCAACTAATGAAGGTCCATTTAGAGATCTAATTTCCCCTATCGATGTAAATCACAATCATCAATTAACACAGAGAGCTTCCAATAACTAAGACGGCAATTTCCAATAAGCAGCAGCTTTGGTGAGTGCTGTTAACTCTCTCAAACTTAAAAAGAAAAATAAGAAAAAGAAGTAGCAGCGTAAGAACACTGCCATAGTTGATCATGAATACCCTGATTAAGATTTGTTTCACTAAACTGGGTCTCAGACCGTCAAGAATACAAATAGTAGACAAATTGCCATTAATAAAAACCTAATGTATGAGCCTCATCATCATTAGCAATAGCAATAAACTCACAGTTCGGTTAATCTGAATTTTCATGTTGAAAATCATCTGACTCGACATATGTACACTAGATAAGCAAGTCTGTCTGAAGTCAGAAGGAATGAGCAGTAAATCTTAATAAGGAATCAGAATAAATATCACTCAAGTCAGTAGGATATGGATCTCTCAGAGTAAGGAGAAGAGTCCTATTCCTTGGATTAGTCTTTCAGGAACTATCACTTTGGGAATGCTAAGAATCATCAGTCAGGTGATTACCCTAATGCAAAGTCATCAGCAAATCTTCTGAATAACTCTAAGAATTTCAACAATGGCAATCACTCTAAAACTCCAAGGATAAATCTGCAGTCTAAATCGCATGCCAACACAGGCATTTAAGTCCTCAGTGAAAATAAAATTATCGGTAATAAAGGGAAAAGTAATAAGAAATGAGTGTGGAATGCTATTTTTACAATAAATGCACATTGATCTATATTGAATGTTTATATTTAAGAGTTCTATAAACTCTCTATCAAATCGTTTATAGTTTAATTTAAATAACAATTTGATCTAAACTTACTTAGCTTAATGGGGTTTTGGGGTTTTGGGGTTTTGGGGTTTTGGGG